TTTACTAAAAATCAAAGCTATTCCTTAGCTCCAGGGCTACCTGTGATCTGTGTTTGCCCTGAAGAATGGAATTTATCCTCACAAAATGGTGTTTTGAATTTCTTAAGAAACTAATAACTGATAATACTATGGATATCAATACCACATATATATATATGTGTATATATATATATATATTGCGATGATGATACGGTCCTTTTTAAAGTCCATTGTAACAGCAAACTATGCCGATTTTTTTCAAATTTAAACAAATCCTACCTACACTTCTAGGATATACTCCACTTAGCATGATGCAGTATCCTTTAGATATACTGTTGGATTTGAGCTGCTAAACTTTTATTTGGAAATTTTTCATCTATATTATAGTTTCTACCTCTATGTTATTAGTCTACCGTTTTCTTATAAAGTCTTTTTCTGAATTGAATATCAAGGTAATGCTGGTCTCATAAGGTGGGACAATTTTATGGAACACTGCATCAAATGGGATTTATTCTTTAAATGTTTTGTAGAATTCAATAGCAAAGCAACTCGGACCAGAGTTATTATTATAGGATTTTCCACTACAAGTTCCATTCTTTAATAAGCATATGGCTAAGCAGTTATCTATTTCTTCTTGAGTTTTGTAGCTTGTGTCTTTTAAAGAGTTTCTCCATTTCATCTGATTTGTCCAATTTACTGGCATAAAATTGTTTGTAATATTGCCATATCATCCTTTCATTGTCTGTACTTAAGTCACCTTTCATTCCTAATATTGGTAATTGTGTTCTCTTTATTCCTCAGTCTAGCTGCAAGTATCCATTTTATTAAATTTTTTTTCTTTATATATATTAATTTACAGGTATATTAAGTGGGCTTTGAAAACAGAAATGCCAGGTTTTCTTTCCTTTGGTACTACCCACAACAGCTAGGCACAGTACCTCTTCATAGCCAGCAGTGTTTTTTGACAAACTAAAGGGTAATCAGGTGATAAAAGTGAAGGCCAAATGAGACTACAACAAGACGTAGAATTAAAATTTCAGAAGCTGTACCTTACAAGGCAGAAAAAGCATGAGGACTTGGCAGTCCCATACAAGATACTCAGTATCTTTATAACCTTGGGGAACAAATCACTAAGCAGTCAATTAGCTAATTTGTAAAATGGAGAATAAAGCCTCCTTATCATATAAGGCTGCAGGTTTAAATGATATAACCCTCATAGAGTGCTATGCATAAGAATGTCCAATAATGTTAGCCATCTTTTTTTCAGCAATGGATCGAACCATTAAAAGAAAAAATTTAGGCCGGGCGCGGTGGCTCAAGCCTGTAATCCCAGCACTTTGGGAGGCCCAGGCGGGTGGATCACGAGGTCAAGAGATCGAGACCATCCTGGTCAACATGGTGAAACCCCGTCTCTACCAAAAAATACAAAAAATTAGCTGGGCATGGTGGTGCGTGCCTGTA